CACTTGTAACACAAACTAGGTGTATGTCAAGACATACAGTCTTGTACTACAGATATAACATATTGTTAATATCTTAACACTTGTAACACAAAGTAGGTGTATGTCAAGACATACAATCTTGTAATACAGATATTACTTATTGTTAACACTTGTAACACAAGATTGGTGTAAGAATAGAATTCGTACGGTTTTATCCACCGTAACATTTTCAACAGTTTAAGCTTTAGACTAAAGAGGTCACTTTCAGCTTGAATGTTCGTTTATTTCAGTTAAGGTTAGGTTAGATTGAAGTTTACAGTGGCACTGTTGTTAGTTGTTGTTGAGAACAACAATTTCGTAATGAACTACAAATTTGTGTTTTATTATAATGGTATATATATTGTATATTTAATTTACTGCAAAATTTCAAGATGTTGCAAACAATACAACAAATTATTAAATATATATAAAACATTATTGTATATTGTACTGCAAAATTTAAGATGTTGCAAACAATACAACAAGATATGAAATCTATATAAAACATTATTGTATTTTTATTTTACTGCAAAATTTCATGATGTTGCAGACAATACAACATGCTATGAAATCTATATAAAACATTATTGTATTTTTATTTTACTGCAAAATTATAAAGTGTCGCAGAAATATCAGAACCGTGAAGTCTATGTAAGACATTTAGCGTGGCACATATTTTACTGCAATATTATGTCAATACCATTTCGATTGTACTTTGTTGGCTCACACGAAACCTTTTTTCCAGCAGACACTTGAAGTATAATTAGTACCCAGATGTGACGTAACGAAACAAGAGTTTGTGGGAGGCTGTGTTGTGTGGTTTCGCTGTTGGTGCGTGCAGGGTTCAAGGCTGCTTCTTGGTACTGGCTATTTGGAGAAGCACGTGCGTTTGAACCGCTTAAAACATTGCAGGACTCTGCAAACTTCATTATGGGTTGGAAATTTCTACTATAACCGCTTCATAAACTTTGTAACGGACGAACGCATTAAATCAACAGTGATTTTATTATTTGTTGGGTTAATTAAAGGAACCCCAGTACAGCTTGACTTACCTGTCCAGGTAGAATCCTAGGTAATTTAAGTTTTATGGACATTATGTTCTATCAGATAGCTAATTATATTTCTATGATCTCATCCAACAGTTCTTTTGGCCCTCTGTTGACGGTTACCCTAACCTAGAGGTGCTCGTGGTCCGAAATCAAGTAAGTTTACTGTAGAAACAAAAACCGATCCCCCTAGTATAATAGAAAAGTGTAAAAACAATATCATCCTCATAAATCATTTCCACTCCTTTGGGAGTATGACAACCAAATTATTTACTGGTACAAACGTTGTCATGTAGATATTGTTACTATAACTACACTTCACAGTTGTCATATTAATATTACTGTTATTGTTACAGACGTTTCTCCAGTTATGACAACTGGGAGATGTAGTTATAGCAACAATATCTACATGACAACGGGGAGGTGTAGTTATAGCAACAATATCTACATGACAACTGGGAGGTGTAGTTATAGCAACAATATCTACATGACAATTGGGAGGTGTAGTTATAGCAACAATATCTACATGACAACTGGGAGGTGTAGTTATAGCAACAATATCTACATGACAACTGGGAGGTGTAGTTATAACAACAATATCTACATGACAACTGGGAGGTGTAGTTATAGCAACAATATCTACATGACAACTGGGAGATGTAGTTATAACAACAATATCTACGTGACAACTGGGACGTGTAGTTATAACAACAATATCTACATGACAACTGGGAGATGTAGTTATAACAACAATATCTACGTGACAACTGGGAGGTGTAGTTATAGCAACAATATCTACATGACAACTGGGAGATGTAGTTATAACAACAATATCTACGTGATAACTGGGAGGTGTAGTTATAGCAACAATATCTACATGACAACTGGGAGGTGTAGCTATAACAACAATATCTACATGACAACTGGGAGATGTAATTATAGCAAAATTATTTGTGTAAAAACTTGGAAGGGTAGTTATAGCAGCAATACTAGTATGAAAACTGATAAGTATAATTATAGCAACAACATTTCTATGACAACTAGAAGTGTAGTTATAGCAACAAAACTAATCACAGCTTTTTTTTTCCCAAGTACAATTAATGCTATAAGAGTCGCGGTAAGTTCCTGAGATATACTGATTTCTTGAATTAAGTACAACTAATAACCGTTACGTACCTAGCTATAGACCGGTAAGTCTATCAGAACTTGTAGGGCTAACGTGATATACCCGTCTGTTAATATTCAAGAAACATAATAATAACACTGGCTATAATATTAGGACGGCTTCAATAACTCAACAACCGGGAATGGTGTTTTCCTTCAATGTTTGTTCTGCAAGTTAAGTTGTATTTTACATGAGGTCATCGCATGTGTGTGTATATATACATGTATATACACAAATGTCATGTGTTAAATAAATGAACATGATGAGTCTGTATCTGTTTTATTTCACTTGTTCCTTAAGACTAAAGACAGCATGCATGGAGCAGTACACACACACAACTAGGTGTGACAGTTAATCTGGGGGTATACACACACACAACTAGGTATGACAGTTAATCTGGGGTATATACACACAACTAGATATGACAGTTAATCTGGGGGTATACACACGTACAACTAGGTATGACAGTTAATCTGGGGGTATACACACATACAACTAGGTATGACAGTTAATCTGGGGGTATACACACACAACTAGATATGACAGTTAATCTGCGGGTACACACACAACTAGATATGACAGTTAATCTGGGGGTATACACACATACAACTAGGTATGACAGTTAATCTGGGGGTATACACACACAACTAGGTATGACATTTAATCTGGGGTATACACACACAATTAGATATGACAGTTAAACTGGGGGTATACACACACAACTAGGTATGACAGTTAATCTGGGGTATACACACATACAACTAGGTATGACAGTTAATCTGGGGTATACACACACAACTAGATATGATAGTTAATCTGGGGTATACACACAACTAGGTATGACAGTTAATCTGCGGGTACATATAAAACTAAGTATGACAGTTAATCTGCGGGTACATATAAAACTAAGTATGACAGTTAATCTGCGGGTACATATAAAACTAAGTAGGACAGTTAATATGCTTACATATATATATATGCTCAAGTGTACTTTTACTTTACATGTACAACAATGAACAATGCTAAAAGCGTACACTCACCCTACATGTATAGCAATGAACAATGCTAAAAGTGTACACTCACTCTACAAATACAACAATGAACAATGCTAAAAGTGTACACTCACTCTACAAATACAACAATGAACAATGCTAAAAGTGTACACTCA